TTTTGGAGAGAAAAGAAAGAAGGGATACTGGTCTGTAGTTGTTGACATCGGAGGGATCGAGTGTAGGTTTTTTGAGAAGGGGTGCAACTCTCGCTCTCTTGAAGACGGAAGGGACGTAGCCAGCGGTCAAGGATGAGTTGATGAGCGAGGTGAGGTAAGGGAGAAGGTCTCCGGAAATGGTCTGGAGAAGAGAGGAGGGGATAGGGTCAAGCGGGCAGGTTGTTGGGCGGCGGCCGTCACAAGTCGCAAGATTTCATCTGGAGAGAGAGGGGAGAAAGAAGTCAAAGCATAGGGTAGGGCAGTGTGAGCAGGACCAGTGGTGTCATTTGACTTAACAAACGAGGATCGGATGTCGTCAACCTTCTTTTCAAAATGGTTGACGAAATCATCCACAGGGAGGGAGGAATGGAGGGGATGGGAAGAGATGATAGGATGGAAGAGGAGAGAGTAGCGGGAGAGAGAGAGCGAAGGTTGCGACGGCGCAATACCATCTGAGTAGTGTTGGAGGAGAGCGAGAGAGAAAAGGATACAAAGTAGTGGTCGGAGACATGGAGGGGAGTTGCAGTGAGATTAGTAGAAGAACAGCATCTAGTAAAGATGAGGTCAAGCGTATTGCCTGCCTTGTGAGTAGGGGGGGACGGTGAGAAGGTGAGGTCAAAAGAGGAGAGGAGTGGAAAGAAGGAGGCAGAGAGAAATGAGTCAAAGGTAGACGTAGGGAGGTTAAAGTCACCCAGAACTGTGAGGGGTGAGCATCCTCAGGAAAGGAACTTATCAAGGCGTCAAGCTTGCTAGCATACTAGCTAGCCAGTGCTCTCTGCCAACGAAAAACCCCTCCTTCCACGGTACGAACACACAGAGAGAGCCAAGCTAACGTTAACTAGTCACCCATGTCCCGAATTCCCTTGAACGACTCTGGTTACCAGTATGTAAAAACAAAACACAAATGTAGGTTATAGCTTACCCTTAGTAGCTACTGTTAGCCAGTTAAGTGCAAAGCTAGCCACTGAATCGATTCAGCCAGTTCGCGTCTGTTCGCTAGGTCGTTCCAGCTATTGTTTAGTTAGCTATCCAGGTAGCAACAAGCTAGCTACATTTCGAGTACAGTAGCTACTAACTATCTAACGTTAACGCTTCAGCTGGCATAATTTCAGGTACTCTTAAGCGTGAAATAACATTGGAAACAACTATCCACAGTTGCTAATAGTTACCAGTAGCTACCCGCTAGCTAGTCCAGGTAGTGGGTTAGCTAGCCTCGTGCTTCACCGGGCTCAGCCGAATACAATACTTACCTACAATAATTACCTACAATAACCAACGATAACTACCTAGATAAACTACCTACAATACCTAACTACAATCTAAATACATGGTTTAAGATTTACTCGACACCATATAAGCACCATATATTTACCAGTATGTATGGCTACCTGCCCCTCCCCCTCCCTCCGAAGCATAGTCTAGTAGCGTACTGACGTTACCAGTAGCCTACTGACATAACTAGTAGTCTACTGACATAACTAGTAGCCTACTGACATAACTAGTAGTCTACTGACATAACTAGTAGTCTACTGACGTTACTAGTAGTCTACTGACATAACTAGTAGCCTACTGACGTTACAGGCATGATTCAGAAACTAGGGAGAGAGATTTTTAATTGGAGAACAATGGATTAACCTTTTCAATGCTAGTTAAGGAAACTATAGTTATCACGTTTCACATTAGAGTTATTAATTACAAAAAGGTAAGACGTGTTTTTTATTTTAATTCTTGTGTCGCTCTGAACACACAAGCTTGTTAGCTAGCTCTGGTTTAGCTCTTGAAAACTCTAGGCGGCATTATGTGTAATGTAATGGAACTGAGAGTCACGATCAACGGCTAGCTCTGGTCCAATGTTAGTTAAGACAACTCTCTGAAGTTCAAAGACATTCAAAGTTCCTTCATAGAAGCCGCTCCTCCGTAGGTATAATTCTGTGGGCCTAATTCAGATAATGCACGTCATAACAACAAGATGCCCAGCACTCTCCTCACCCGCAAAATTTCAGTCGCATGTCACACCCTACACGACACTTGTCTGTCCAATGCATGTACATAGCTTGCCCGCTCCCTAGCAAGCTGCTCTATCCATTGGTGAAGTAATTTAATGTCGATTTCATACAGTTGAAGTCGGAAGTTTACATACACTTAGGTTGGAGTCATTAAAACTTGTTTTTCAACCACTCCACAAATTTCTTGTTAACAAACTATAGTTTTGGCAAGTCGGTTAGGACATCTACTTTGTGCATGACACAAGTCATTTTTCCAACAATTGTTTACAGACAGATTATTTCACTTATAATTCACAATATCACAATTCCAGTGGGTCAGTAGTTTACATACACTAAGTTGACTGTGCCTTTAAACAGCTTGGAAAATTCCAGAAAATGATGTCATGGCTTTAGAAGCTTCTGATAGGCTAATTGACATAATTTGAGTCAATTGGATGTGTACCTGTGGATGTATTCCAAGGCCTACCTTCAAACTCAGTGCCTCTTTGCGTGACATCATGGGAAAATGAAAAGAAATCAGCCAAGACCTCAGAAAAAAATGGTAGACCTCCACAAGTCTGGTTCATCCTTGGGAGCAATTTCCAAACACCTGAAGGTCCCACGTTCATCTGTACAAACAATAGTACACAAGTATAAACACCATGGGACCACGCAGCCGTCATACCGCTCAGGAAGGAGTCGTGTTCTGTCTCCTAGAGATGAACGTACTTTGGTGCGAAAAGTGCAAATCAATCCCAGAACAACAGCAAAGGACCTTGTGAAGATGCTGGAGGAAACAGGTACAAAAGTATCTATATCCACAGTAAAACGAGTCCTATATCGACATAACCTGAAAGGCCGCTCAGCAAGGAAGAAGCCACTGCTCCAAAACCGCCATAAAAAAGACAGACTATGGTTTGCAACTGCACATGAGGACAAAGATCTTACTTTTTGGAGAAATGTCCTCTGGTCTGATGAAACAAAAATAGAACTGTTTGGCCATAATGACCATCGTTATGTTTGGAGGAAAAAGGGGGATGCTTGCAAGCCAAAGAACACCATCCAAACCGTGAAGCACGGGGGTGGCAGCATCATGCTGTGGGAATGCTTTGCTGCAGGGGGGACTGGTGCACTTCACAAAATAGATGGCATTATGAGGAAGGGAAATTATGTGGATATATTGAAGCAACATCTCAAGACATCAGTCAGGAAGTTAAAGCTTGATCGCAAATTGGTCTTCCAAATGGACAATTACCCCAAGCATACTTCCAAAGTTGTCGCAAAATGGCTTAAGGACAACAAAGTCAAGGTATTGGAGTGGCCATCACAAAGCCCCTGACCTCAATCCTATAGAACATTTGTGGGCAGAACTGAAAAAGTGTGTGCGCGCAAGGAGGCATACAAACCTGACTCAGTTACACCAGCTCTGTCAGGAGGAATGGGCCAAAATTCACCCAACTTATTGTGGGAAGCTTGTGGAAGGCTACCCAAATCGTTTGACCAAATTTAAATTAATTTAAAGGCAATGCTACCAAATACTAATTGAGTGTATGTAAACTTCTGACCCACCGGGAATGCGATGAAAGAAATAAAAGCTTAAATAAATCATTCTCTCTACAATTATTCTGACATTTCACATTCTTAAAATAAAGTGGTGATCCTAACTGACCTAAGACAGGGAATTTTTACTAGGATTAAATGTCAGGACTTGTGAGAAACTGAGTTTAAATGTATTTGGCTAAGGTGTATGTAAACTTCCGACTTCAACTGTAGGTTTAAAAATGATATAAATCATTACTTTTTTTGGGGTTCGAACCAGTTCAGAACTTTATTTTGCTGGTCGGAACACTGGAACGGAATGAAAAAAATAAAGGTTCTGTTCAGAACTAAATGATTGGAAAAGAATTGCAGTTCCAACCCCTGCTTAGAGCAAACCCTAATAGCTTGAATGCATTATGTCATGTGACCAGAGACCAATGGCTGAAAAGTTTTTTTGAAATAATCTTAGTAATGCCCTATACCCACCACTCAAATGAATTATAATGTAGTCCTTCGCATGTTTTTTCTTTCTTGTAGCTCCTCTTCAAGTATGACCTGGTAAGGTATGACATGGTCCGAGATGAGCCTGTCAGGAACAAGCAGGGCTTCTGTCAACACGTTAACAAGGGTAAGTACTCAAGTAGTAGTAGTTCACTTTAATATTATTATTATTACTATTATTATTATTATTATTATTATTATTATTATTATTATTATTATTATTATTATTATTATTATTATGTAGTAGTAGTACCGTTTATTGGTTGTTCACAGTTGTATACCGAATTGTACTTTTTACAATCGTAGATTATTATCCCATAATGGGAAATTGGTTTGCCGCAGTTTAGAAAAAGACAAGACAAACATAACAACATTGGAACACATCAGGCCAAAATGCATGAAACGCATGTGTGAAGGCATTGTTGTTGCCAGAGAATGGTTAGGGTGTGGTGGTAGATTGGACGGAACTGAGACGGGAGAAATGTTGTTTTTAGTAGTAAATTGTTTGACGGACCCTGTCAGGATGTTCTGACTTTCCTGTTGGACTGCGCAGCAAAAATGTAACAAAACCAATAGATATTTCCACCATGCGTTGCTGTCATTGAAAGACGTTGGGTTTGGCTCTTGGCTGCTTTTTTGGTGCTTTTGATAGTTACACCCATATGGAAAAATATATGTCAACAGATCAAATAGCCTCCTTCTCAAGCACTCTTTTCTAAAGATGAAGGATATTGTTTATAGAACATTCATGCTGTGCTATAGGCCAATGTTGAACTGCATTGTCCACTCTAGTTTACGTTCTCTAAAATCGCTCTGTTTCGTTAATAGGTTAATATTACAACTCAATGGTATATTATTTTCACTGTACATTACACGCATTAGGGCCAGGACTTTTTAATGGTCAGGTCACATGGTTAGGAACAACTTTATCTGGGAATGAAAGCAGACGTTCAGAAAACGTTTCTGACCGACCAAACGATTCAGACTTTTAGACTTTCCCCTTTGTGTGTCTTCTCCCTAGGTGAGACGGGCCTTCTCTTGTCCAAGGTTAGCGCCTCCAGTCCATTCTTTGGCTATGCAGGGAGCAAACAGCTGACCGAGAAGAAGTTGATGAGGAACGTGTTTGTGAAGGGAGATGCGTACTTCAACACTGGAGATCTCATGGCTGAAGATGCTGAAGACTTTATCTGTTTCAAGGACAGAGTTGGGGACACTTTCAGGTAGAGAATCTGAATTGACATGACAATGTTTATCTGGGTTATTGTAATGAGTAACTCACCTCGTGACCCAGTGGGCAAAATAGGTTGAAATGATGTAATTTCAAACAGTTTTGTTATTGAAATTACAGTATGTCATTTCAACCAGTTTTGCCCACTGGGAAGGTTGACGTCATCTTTCACATTGAGTTAAGACAGGCATGTCAACTGACACGTGTGATGAAGGAAATGGTAAAGATATCAAGTCACTCTTTGCAGAATTACAGTACTGTATGTCATAATGACTGGATTTGCATACTGTCATGGCATAACTCATGACTGCGCAGTTCTTTAACATAGCTCATGACTGTGAAGTTCTTCAACATAGCTCATGACTGCTCAGTTCTTCAACATAGCTCATGACTGCGCAGTTCTTCAACATAGCTCATGACTGCTCAGTTCTTCAACATAACTCATGACTGTGCAGTTCTTTAACATAGCTCATGACTGTGAAGTTCTTCAACATAGCTCATGACTGTGAAGTTCTTCAACATAGCTCATGACTGTGAAGTTCTTCAACATAGCTCATGACTGCTCAGTTCTTCAACATACAAATATATGGGTGTGGGGGGGTGTGCCTCTTTCTGACCAATGAGGTAATTTGGACAATACTTCTGTTAATTTAGGGGACACATTTAGGGGACATGTTTTCACTCACTCTTAGAGACAAAAGTTCATGGCCTCTTCGATGTCCTTATTTATGATATCAGATGGAAGGGTGAAAATGTGGCAACAACAGAAGTGACAGAGGTGCTTGGAATGGTGGACTTTATCCAGGAGGCCAATGTCTATGGGGTGGAAATTCCAGGTACAGGTGTCTGTCTGTCTGTCTGTCTGTCTGTCTGTGTGTGTGTACATGTTTGTGTCTATGTGTGGTGTACGTGTCTGTCTGTGTGTGATTCCATTTAGTAAAATACTGCGATCCCATTGCTATGCTTCTGCTTTGGCAAACACACTGTGGTGGCATGAGAGACCTTGGAGTGTTTGCAGAGTAATTGTCCCCATTTGAGATGAATGATTGATGTAATGTTTCGATTAGACCACCCAGTGGAAGATGTCATGGGCTGAGTCCCAAACGGCACCCTATTCCCTACATAGTGCACTACATGTGATCAAAGCCCTATGGGCCCAGGGGTAAAGTAATGCTCTATGTAGGGAATAGGGTGCCATTTGGGTCTCACTGTGCTCCCTGCCTAGAACTGAAGTTAAAGGCCTTTTGTCACGTCCATCTTTAATGAGCCACCCGTAATGAAAGGGGTTGAAACTGGAGTAACACGAAGTGACTAATGGGGCACCATTGTATTCACAGGAAATGAGGGAAGAGCCGGAATGGCCGCCATCATTGTGAGGCCTGAATGTGAGTTTAGCGGGAAGAAGCTATTTGACCACGTCCTCAATGAACTACCAGGCTATTCTCGTCCTCTCTTCATAAGGCTTCAGGTAAGGAACATTTGACATACTGACTTCCTTGACATGTTGTGATAAAGTAGAGGCAATTTTCTAATGTTCACTTTTGCCAGTGTTTTGATTTGTGGACTATCTTTTTAAAATGTTTGTAAAATGTTTGCTTAAGCTTCTCTTACAAAGGGTAGGACAGTAATTAGACAGGAATGAATAGGTCATCATTTGCCTACCTGCAAAGGGATGTCAATGATTGGAACAGCTCTAAGAAATACTTTGGCATGGTGGTGGCCTCTTCTGGTCACATGTGTACACTACAGCACTGACAGGTCAATGTCATTGTAGAGAACATTCCATACAGTTCTTACCAGGGTCGGGGTCAATTCCATTTCCATTCAGGAAGTAAACAGAAATTCTGATTACAGTCATATTGTTTTGTCATTGAAAAGCAAAGTTTTGACGGGTTGTATAGTTAAGCTTTTATGTAAATATTATGCAGCGATTTGGTTTGTGTAATCTATTCGAACATTCTGCATTTGATTATCAACAGATTAATATGTCAAGAGTTTGAATATTGCTTGCCAAGTTGTCAAATTAATTATTTTAGCCTAAAGTGTCAAATTCTCTCTCTATGGTACAATATATATTGTGAAAGTTAACTTCTGTTTGTGTCATTGAAAAATAATCCTACAGCCATGCACACAGATAAAACAGATCAGGATACAGAATAATGAAAGAGTACCATCACATCTTATTCTTGTACGTTGTAGGAATCAATGGAAATGACGGGAACCTTCAAGCAGCAGAAATTCAATCTGGTGGAGAGCGGATTCAACCCTTCAACAATCTGCGACCCGCTCTATTTCCTGGATTACTCAGAGAAGAGCTACGTTCCCCTCACAGACACGCTGTACAGCAGCATTTTGGCTGGCGAGCGGAAGCTATAGGTCTTAACCGTAGCTAAAACCACCAATAGTTTTGGTTCACCGAGACGACGGCAGCGTAGTTGTGCTGTTTCGAAGAGGGACCGAGGGACCGTCAATTGGGGTCCACTCCTTTGTAGTGTTATATATTTGATGGGAACCAAGAACTGAGAACCCCAAAACAAATCCTCATTGAATAATGTTTTCTGGTATGAATATCCGGGTTAATAATGAATAAAGGGAGGGTCACTGTTATATTGTTGACCTTGATGGGGGGGGGGGGGGGGGGGGGGTAAAACTCTGAGTTCTTGTGGGGTGTCGGTTTCCCTCCCTGCTCCTCCTCGGTTTCTAGATCTATTGTCAAGACGGTTCAGCTGAGAAGGCTAAATTGACTTGAGACCAGTGAACCTCGACAATCAGCCCTTCCACTGTCCGTCTGTGCCATTTAATTTGCGGATGGGGTGTCCTAAAGTGTCACTAGTTCCTCCTTGATATAAAGACGAATAGCAAATAGAGGCGTTATGTGCTTCATCATGTGTTCGAGGCACTGATGACCAAATTCAATAACTTTCATGTCATTTTGTATAAACACAACAAATGGATAAAATTCAGGAGGCACTAACCCCACAGTTTCCAATAGCCATTGACGCCTCTGGTCACCCAACATTCTTCCTTCCGACCTACTACACTAACCAACGTAGATACGGAGTTTTAATATCAGTAAAATGTCCATATGCTTTGCTAGAAATAGTAGTAATTATGAGTTTTTTTTAAAAAAATACAAATAGTTGAGGCTCATGATTGAAACGAAAGTAGGTGTGCTTCGCAAAAGTATGTTTGTTATGTGTCCTCCAGTATCTCTGTAGAGAGAGTACAGTCCACTGGCACAGCAGTAGTTCAGTAAGGGAACCATGCATTATTTTACATTTACATTTTAGTCATTTAGCAGATGCTCTTATCCAGAGCGACTTACAGTTAGTGAGTGCATACATTGTCTTTTTTTTTTTTTTTCATACTGGCCCCCAGTGGGAATCTAACCCACAACCCTGGCGTTGCAAGCACCATGCTCCTTCAACAGTTTGCCAGTTAGTGTTTACCATCTTGTGTTACTCTGAAATGCAACCCAGGTCCAAGTAGTCTTTTTCTTTTTTTACCCACACTGATTGAGCCTGTCCGGAGTGCCAGATGGGCGGGGTTTGGAACTTTTTGGGATCTGTTCCATGTGGTTCCTTTGTAAGCCCAGCTCAAGAAAACAAATACTATTTGAACCCGGGTCTGAATGTGACGCAAAGTGATTATATTTACTATGTCAGCTGATTGCTGAGAAGCTTCATTAAGGGTCCAATTCAGTCAAACCTACCATGCACTGTTAATGCCTTATCAACATACCTTATCCCCCTCAGTCAAACAACATAACATGGTTTTGATACTGTAAAATACTAGCCTGGGTGCCATCCTGTTTGTGCTATCAGTGTTTCTCATATTTGACTTGCAATGGAGTTGGCAAGAGCACAAACAGATCTGGGACCAGGCTAGTAAAATACCAGGCAGGCCCCCTCTTATAAGTAGATGCTCCTAGCTTTGTAATTAGGCATCTGGGTAAATAGAGATACTGCATAAACGAGGCTAAGGCAGTTTTGAGGCTAAGGCAGGTTTGACTGAATTCAGCCCTTTGCGTACTTAAAATGGGGGACTGATATTAAGAGTTTTCTAAGTATAAATAGTGTTAATTTGTACAGCTATTTGAACTATGTTTTGGTGAAGAAGAATATAGTTTACAATGTCCGAAATGTTGAATTAATTGTGAATATCAAGTCCTTATGATTAGTCCAGCTAGGATTATAATATAATTTTAAGATAATTTAAGCACAATGAATGATCGCAATTAAGTTAATTTGTGCAGTGTGTGAAAATCATGAACTGAAAGCTGAATTAAGTGATTTTTAGCTTCACTGACCTCTTGTTTTACTTTCCTGTTTGGACAGCCAAACATTTATTTCACTTTGATTATTTAAAATGTTGAATACTTGGTCAAATGGTGTTTAACAGAAATTGTTTGTTTTTCATTTCATTTGATACTATTTAATTTGGGTGAATTTGTGTCCAATATGTGTATGTCAGATATGTCAACACTTCAAATGCAGATTTCAGAGTTATATGGACCACCATTTTCAACTTTTCCTTAAGACACTTGTAGTATGGAGTGATATTAGTGCCACCAGATTGTCATCTTTGCTTTTACCCGAAACCCATCTTTCCAAAATGGAAAATATGACGGCTCATTTTCCATGAACAGCTAGGGTCTTAGGGATACAACAGTAAATAGTCAAACAGAGTGATCGGACAGTCTGTTAACGTCTCGCTGTGTAAAAGCTGTTCAGTATCACTTTACTTAACGCTGACAGTTATGTGTTTGGTAATAATATGCCATTTAGCAGACGCTTTTATCCAAAGCGATTTACAGTCATGTGCGCATACATTTTTACGTATGGGTGGTGCCGGGGATCGAACCCACTACCCTGGCGTTACAAGCGCCGTGCTCTACCAGCTGAGCTACAGAGGAAGTAAGGAAGAATATAGTTTACAATGTCAGACGTTCACTGTGAATATCAAGTCCTTATGATTAGTGTTGTCACGATACCATCATCGCGATACTACGATACCAGATTTTCCTTGGAAAAAAAAGAAAACACGAAGCAGATTTCAACTCTATGATCCTTTAAAACCTACTTCTGTAAGATATTGTGTGCTATAGCTTGCAAAATAAACAAATGTGACTGGGTGACAACACAAGGCAGTTTTTTCCAACATTAGGACTGTTTTCCTCAAGACATTTAGTCTGCTTCATGTTTTGTTTCCTTTGCATTCTTACTTCCTATACTGAAGAAAAATATACTGAACAAAAATATACTGAACAAAAATATAAACTCAACATGCAAAAATGTCAAAGATTTTACTGAGTTAGAGTTCATATATTAGTTCAACGAAATCAGTCAATTGGAATGGATAGGCCCTAATCTATTGATTTCACATGACTGGGAATACAGATATTAATCTGTTGGTCACAGACACCTTAAAAGAAATGGGCCTCACAATGGGCCTCAGGATCTCGTCACGCTATTTCTGTGCATTCAAATTGCCATCGATAAAATGCAACTGTGTATGTTGTCCGTAGCTTATGCCTGCCCATGCCATAACCCCCACCGTCACCATGGGGCACTCTGTTCACAACGTTGACATCAGCAAACCGCTCACCCACAGGACACCATACACGTGCTCTGCGGTTGTTCTCAAAAACGACGTTTGAGGTGGCTTATGGTAGAGAAAATAACATTAAATTCTCTGGCAACAGCTCTGGTGGACATTCCTGCAGTCAGCATGCCAAATGCACGCTCCCTCAACACTTCAGACACTGTGGCATTGTGTTGTGTGACAAAACTGCATATTTTAGAGTGGCCTTTTATTGTCCCCAGCACAAGGTGCACCAGTGTAATGATCATGCTGTTTAATCAGTTTATTGATATGCCACACCTGTCAGGTGGATGGATTATCTTGGCAAAGGAGAAATGCTCACTAACAGGGCTGTAAACACATTTGTGCACAACATTTTTAAGAAATAAGCTTTTTGTGTGTATGGAACATTTCTGGCATCTTATATTTCAGCTCATGAAACATGGGACCAGCACTTTACATGTTGCGTTTATATTTTTGTTCAGTGTATTATCGCGATACTGGTATCGTGACAACACTACTTATGATTAGTCTAGCTAGGATTATAATATAATTTCCAGATAATTTAAGCACATTGAATGATAGCAATGAAGTCAATTCGCACATTGTGCAGAAAGCTGGGCAAAAAAATGTTTTAGCTTCACTAATATCTCTTGTTTTACTGTCCTGTAACGTTTAATTACACTTTGATTATTACAAATGTTAAACATTTTGTAAAATGGTTTTTAACAGCATTTATGTTTATCATTTAATTTGATACTATTTAATTTGGGTGAATGTGTGTCCGATATGTGTATGTCAGATACGTCAATACAATTTCAAAAACACATTTCAGAGTTATGTGGACCACAATTTTCAACTCATCGTTCAGACACTAAAGGTGTCCGTATACATAGGTTCTGTTTGCTTCTAGCAGAACTCAGCTAGGTGAAGCGAACATCTGTGCTCGCATACTCCCTAGAGACCTTTGCTTAAAAAATTAGAAAAAAAAAGTGGCAATATTACTGCTGTTTTTGTCCCTCTTGAGCCACTGTAGCAACAACATAGCCAGAAACACTTCCTCAAAATAGTCTGAATTAATCGAAGATAAATCAAGAGATGTTTCATTAATTTAGACATTTTTTGCTGAGGAGTTCTTAGTTGCGCAATTTTACATCTAAGATGTATGAATTGGAAAAATTTGCATGAAACGTAATAGTGCACTGGAGACAGTAGGGCCTAGCTGCTTAGCGCGCTCGTCTCTCTCATTGCAAGGCAGTAAACGCTTCATTGAAGAATCCCCTCCATAGTTCACACCCCTACTGTTGACCAATCACCGACAAAAGGGGCAAGACTTCGGCTACTGAAATGCCTCGATAAAATATTTTGTGTGCGCAAACAGCCAAAAAAGAAACCATGCCGAACACCAAAACTAACAAAAAAGTCAACAAATGTCCTCATAATATGTGCGCAAACTGTTTTCGACTGGGAAGCATGCGATTAGGCTTAATAGTCACTAATAAATAGTATGGAGTGATATTAGTGCCACCAGATTCAATTTCCTTATACGAATTCAAAATGATTCAATTCAGATTCAATTTCCTTATACGAATTCAAAATTATTCAATTCAGATTAAATTTCTGGTGGCACTAATATCACTCCATATTATTGTCATTTGTCATCTTTGCTTTTACCCGAAACCCATCTTTCCAAAATGGAAAATATGACGGCTCATTTTCCATTAACAGCTAGGGTCTTAGGGACACAACAGTAAATAGTCAAACAGAGGGATCTGACAGTCTGTTAACGTCTCGCTGTGTAAAAGCTGTTCAGTATCACTTTACTTAACGCCGACAGTTAAGTATAATGCATTACGATGTGGTTATAATGCATCGTAAAACATGTTATAAGCATGTATGACCCCCCCGTGATAAAGTCTTATCTCATAATGATCATCTCAAATGTTTGTCAGTTGAAAACATGATACATAGAGAGACATATTACAGGCCTTATAACAAGACTGATGCATGCCTACAAACAAGTAATAAAGCGTTATAGCTGCTTTAAGTGTTACGAGCCATTCCACCTGTTGCGTTGATTCTCTCAGGGTACTTTTACTGTGTGCACTGGGAGGACCTTGCAAGCTGCTGTCACCGGGTTTTTAACCCATTGAGGTCCAACATATGCTGTATTTGTGTTTTCCGTTGTCATCATTGAAGCCTTGATTAACAGTGTTAGAACACATATTTAGCCTAGCTGATTACGGGAATAGTCTGTGCCATTGTGAACATGACATGGAAGAATGATTAAATGTTTTAAAAAAGTGATGAGTGTGTGGTTTTACCTGTACTGTGTGATTAGTAGGGTTGCAAAATTCCAGGAACTTTCAATAAATTCCCTGTTTTTCCAGAAATCCTGCATTCCTCCAACCAAGATTTCAGGAAAACCAGCGAATGTATTGAAAGTTCCAGGAATTTTGCAACCTTAGTTATTAGTAACGCTTCTTAATTCATTTGTATAGAACTTTGGTTAGCACATAATTTATTTAGAAACGGATTACATAATTTGAGGGCTCACAATAACTATTTAATCTCTTTTCAGTTTGTTAGTCTCCATTGAATCAGACACAGTTAACTAAATGTAGCCTGGTCCCAGATGTGCTCTTGCCGATTACATTGCTGTCATTGTTTGGCATGACAGCACAAACAGACTGGCACTCAGACTATAGAAAATGACCAAGTGCTCTCAAGTATGACCATCTTTACCGAAGCGTCTTGATATGGGCTAGTCTATTCACTGATTGGTTGGATATTAGAGGTGGCAGACAGACAGCAGATAAGCATGCAGACAATACACTTTCATCAACCCAGATTAGAGTTAGGAACGGTCAGTTATTATCACAGTAATAGAAGACAGAATGGCACTTCTTCATTTGATGTTTTTTTTTTTTGAACACTGCATAAAGTGTAAATCTTTATCCTATTGACCAGTGTTTCCCAACTCCAGTCCTCCAGTAACCCCAACAGCACACATTATGTAGGACAGTGTTTCCCAACTCCAGCCCTCCAGTAACCCCAACAGCACACATTATGTAGGACAGTGTTTCCCAACTCCAGTCTTCCAGTAACCCAAACAGCACACATTATGTAGGACAGTGTTTCCCAACTCCAGTCCTCCAGCTTCCATTACACATGTTTGTTGTAACCCTGGACAAGCACACTTGATTCAACTTGTCAACTAATCATCAGCCCTCAATGAGCTGAATCAGGTGAGTTTGTCAGGGTGTAACACAAGGACTGGATTTGGGAAAAACTGCTATAGACCACACAACATTGGATTAAAAATACAATTAATTGTGTTAAGTGAAATTATACTCTTGAGAAATAGTTAGATATTACTGTTAGCCAACAATAATGTCACATGCAAATTGAGATCAAATTCAACTCCTAATTTTGAAGAAGGAAAAAAAATACTATATTTCAAGGAAAAACATTCGGTAAGTCTATAGTTTAATGTTCAGAAGTTTGAGCCATAGAAATCGAATGTATAGGCCTAACACTAGGCTACCCTTTCCCTCTACTATACAGTCCTATCGGTTCTACCGAACGCATTTCTAGATTCTGTACAATTGCGCCCTCCCTGAATGCCTCACGCTTCTGTACGCATCCACAGCACACACACAGCTACTGGAATCATGGCGGATGGTCACAGCAACAACAACCATGTCCCTGTTTTACTTTCATTTTCAGCGTTCTCGCGGCCGTCCTCTGTGCCTGTTGGTTCTGGATATGAAGTGCTCATTCAAAAGTTTTTGTCAATCTACGGACGCCAAATAGACCTCCATCGTAAATTCATGATTCAATTGTATTCGGACGAGTGGGCACAGTACATTGATTTGCCGAAAGGATTCATCATATCTGAGAAATGCAAGCTACGATTTGTACCTTTGGAAACGGATGTAAGATTGTACCGTTTCGTTTTTTCATTGCAAATGTTGTATAACATTTAATGATGCACATTATCCCCATAAAGTCAACACCTGCTACAGTACTTTGACAAATTGAATACGTTTCATAGAGGCTGAGTTTTGTAGCTTGGCCTACTTGTCTGCAAGGTCGCTGTCACAAAAACACAATTTGTTGTAGGCGAACGTTACATGTTTGTTCCAAAATGTTAATTAGAAATACTAGCTATCATCCAACATTCATTATAGTATTTAATTTGTTGTCATATTTCATATTTATTACATTTATATTGAATTAGTTTAGAATCTAGACTGTCTTTACTGTACTGTAGGTGGTAGTGAAGAGAGATGCATGGAAATGATCTGTCAACTTGTCATTATTTATTTATTTAACGTCATGTTTCTACTGTAAAATCGAAGCCCTTCGAGCCTACTGATATCACTTTCTACATACACTACCGTAGAAGGGAAATGAATCATTTTATTTTGCTACAGTAGGCTATTTTACCAATACACCCTATTTAGTGTGAACTGGCCAAAACAAACGTAGACTTGTATCAGTATCCCTATGTCTCTTGTATTTGTGTCTCACTAATACAGTAGCCTGAGCTAAATAATCATTTAAAAAAATGCATCATATTTGCTTTTGATTAGTAAGGGCTACAAACACCAACAGTATTGCCTAAACATGGCGTGCAGAAGTTGGCATTGAAAAAACATCAAAGCTGTAATTGTAGTGTGACTGATCTAACAAGAATGGGAATGTGGGTCGTTCTTGAATTGCGGTGGCATTTGGGCATGGCATTCTGGGGGAAAAACTTTTTTTTTCTATATTTGTATTTATTTGAATGTGTTTGGGTACATCGTCCCATTCTAAATCAAATAATATGGCAGCTTAATGACTTTAAATGATTTTTACCATTATGATAACATTGTGCCAGCAGTAGCAGTAGGAACACCAATGATGGTAACACCAATTAATTATTTTTGGTTATCGAGTATTTTCCTAAATGGAGGCCACAGATGCTCAAATGTAAGGTCAGTAACCCCTAAACATAATTGTATAAAGTGATTTATAATTTTGCTCACAATGTTTTTTCCCTTCATTTAAATTGACTAACACCAAGTGACACTTTGGATTTAGATTCACCAAATTGTCAATGGAATCCTCAAATGTATGACATAATAAAGGGGCGATGAGCTAATAATTGTATTATTTAAAATAGACCACTCCCCCGATAAGTTTGCCACTGGAGGGAATGCTTAAGGTTCTTGTATATCTTTGTAATGCGTGATTTTCAAGGCGCTAACACCAAATGTCATAAAACTGAGGGACAGATATTATACTAGTGGTATTTTAATAGCCTTCTTTGTTTTTATTCATCTATACAATATATTAAATACTTTTCACTTTCTAGCATTACAAACAATTTAAAGATATTGCTAAATCCCCAAAACATGTCACTACAACTCTACACATCACTACTGGGACAAGCCAATTTGCTTACCCTAAGTACTTTAAACAATGCATACGTTTTACAGCATAAAGGACTAATGTTTGATCGTGAATAAACAGCCCACTGGCCACAGACTTCAATTCAACGTCTATTCCACATTGGTTCAAAGTAATTTCATTGAAATGAAGTGGAAACAAAATTGATTCGACCACGGTGTGCCCATTGGGAGTTCAATATGAACAAAAACATGTTTGATGTGTAACTATTTGTCATTTAAAGTGTTTTTCATGGTTGCAAAGGAAAGGGACGCAAATGCAACTACAATTCAAGAACGACCCTTGTGTAATCCTTGGGAGGTTTACTACTGATTCCTATGGCAGCTGTCAATAGAACCCCCCAAAGGAACCACTGGCACCACTAGAGATGACAACGCCATTGAACCTTTAGTAACATAGAAATAGAATGACAAAAGTGGGCATACCCATTTCAAAGCAATGCTCTACCCATTTCAAAGCAATGCTCTACCCATTTCAAAGCAATGCTCTACCCATTTCAAAGCAATGCTCTACCCATTTCAAAGCAATGCTCTACCCATTCCAAAGCAATGCTCTACCCATTCCAAAGCAATGCTCTACCATTTCAAAGACATGCTCTTACCATTCCAAGCAATGCTCTACCCATTTCAAAGCAATGCTCTACCCATTCCAAAGCAATTCTCTACCCATTTCAAGCAATGCTCTACCCATCCAAAGCAATGCTTTACCATTCCAAGCAATGCTCTACCATTCCAAAGCAATGCCTACCATTCAAAGCAATGCTCTACCCATTCAAGCAATGCTCTACCCATTTCAAAGCAATGCTCTAACCCATTCCAAAGCAATGCTTTACCCATTTCAAAGCAATGCTCTACCCATTCCAAAGCAGTGCTCTACCCATTCAAAGCAATGCTCTACCCATTTCAAAGCAATGCTCTACCCATTCAAAGCAATGCTCTACCCATTCAAAGCAATGCTCTAACCATTTCAAAGCAATGCTCCAAAGCAATGCTCTATGACGGCCATATTTGGTGTACTGATTTTGAGTAATTTATGCTAATCATGTCAGAATTGTGACAGTCTGTGTCTTTCGCAGTGGCACTTTTCAACAAAAAAAGTAAATGGACCGTTCAACTAATACCAATTCTATGTTCAATGAAACTACCATAACCACTCTTGTTTTTTAGAGTGGTGGAAAAAGTACCCCATTGTCATACTTGAGTAAAAGTAAAGATACCTTGATAGAAAATGACTCAAGTGAAAGTCACCCAGTAAAATGATGCTTAAGTAAAAGTCTAAAAGTATTTCGTTTTAAATATACTTAAGTATCAAAAGTAAAAGTATAAACCATTTCAAAGTCCTTTTATTAAGCAAACCAGACGGCACAATTTTCTTTTAAAATGTTTTTAATTTATGGATAGCCAGGGGCACACCTACACTCAAGACATCATTTACAAATGAAGCATTTGTGTTTATCGAGTCTGTCTTGATAAGGGTGTGAATTGGACCATTTGTCTGTCTGCTAAGCATTCAAAATGTAACAAGTACTTTTGGGTGTCAGGGAAAATAATGTATGGAGTAAAAAGTACATTATTTTCTTTAGGAATGTAGTTGAGTAATGAAGTACAGATACCAAAAAAAAAATACTTAAGTAGTACTTTGAAGTATTTTTACTTAAGTACTTTACACCGATATTTTAAAAATGATATAAATTGAACCCCTATTGTAACCATTGGCTAGTCTTACTGTCCAATGTCTGTTAAAAGATGGTCATAAATACATTATGATACACTACAATTCTTGAAGAATATAACTTATAAATACCTCATGTTCCCAGTTCAACTGTAGTACCCCATCACAACCCAAAATATAAGCTTGTTTTACTCCAATATTTGTAAACAAACACTGTATATCCTCAAAACATGATTAAAACAATACTTTTGATATCATGGATGCTTTGATATTGTTCCAATTTAAGGATTCTAGCTGTAAGTCTTGGACTAAAAGCATGATCAATGGAGAGTCTCTGTTTTAAAAGTGCTTTTTAATCCAGGGATTAACGTGTCTGGTAAACCGGACCTAGATCTTTCAAATCTTATCGTACGATTACAACCAAATTACGGAGAGACAGTGGCAAATGAATCACTCAACTCTGACAAATGTATTTCTTTGTCGAGATGTCACAATACTATTTCTCCCTTCCTTATTAATTTTTGGTCTATAATAGCAATAGTGATATTAAAGATATGTTCAGTAAATTAATACTCTGCCGTGGCATTGAGATATTAAAAAGAGATTAAGTGAAATGCCTGACCAGTACTGGGATGAGCTGGTATAAAAGGATCAGAAGCATGTCGCTGATTCTTTTGTTGTGCTTGTCATTAAGCCGTAATCTACTGAATATACCACGGAGCTGAACCAAACCAAAACGTTCAATTCTATCATTTCTATTATACTGTAGACACTATACTTCATAGTACGTCAAATATTACGATTAAGATTCCTTTTATTGTCCAATTTTACACAAGGTCCAACGGAAATCCGTCTTCCACTTTATCCCAACCCCACTGAAAGACACACATAGTTAATATACCATAAATACTTATTTATCCTCAAAGACAAAGCAGTCAATTAAAGCTCAGTCATTGATAATGTATGCTAAATATAAAAATATGATGGCAAAACCATAAATCATCTATTTGTTTTATATGCAGGTGACAATATTGGGGAACCTGATCCCTGCCACCACGGCCTTCTTCTGCTGTGACATGCAGGAAAGATTCCGCCCAGCTATCAAATACTTCGGTGACATCATCAGTGTGGGACAGAGACTGGTAAATTGACCCCCTTTTCATACACTGTTGTTAATTTACATTTAAACAATATGTGTATTTATATTATATTGTATGTAAATGATAAATTATTTTCTGTCCATTAAGGGGACTCTTTTCTCTCAAAACCGCTTTGGGTCAATATAACTGTACAGCCTCTTTAATACCTACCTCCAGGCAAGGCGGTCCGGCGTCCTGGCAAAATAAATAGTGAGCCTATCACAAAAATGAAAACAAAATGTCAAGAAAACTGTAGGCTATTACGCCCTTATTTATCATTACCGCATGTCAGAGGCATGACAAATTAGCCAATTACGTATTGGCTGCAACCAGGTCTCAGAGCATTACGTATTACTCTGTATGTAAATCCGAGACACTCCATTTAGTATGATATTTTACATTTCGTGTGGTGTTTATTAATTTGTGGATGTCCATCATCCGTTTCGTATCGTAGGCTATGTTACAAATTACAATTCGTATTAAATGTTACAAATTTGCAAAACTTACAATATGTTACAAATTAGCTAAACATACTATTTAACATGATGATACATACTGTCTGTCTCAGGTCTCACCCACACATTAACATGATGATACATACTGTCTCTTCCTGTTTGAAAACACAGGGAGTCTGTCCCAAATGGCACCCTATTCCCTATATAGTGCACCACATAGGGTTCTAGTCAAAAGTAGTGCACTATATAGGGAATAGGGTGCCATTTGCGACACAACCAGAGAGGGAGGGCAGGACGCGTGGTCATGTTACTGGGCTGTCTACTGTTGAGAAACTGACCAGATACAGGGTCAGCCTCTGACGTTCCCATAACCATGTTTCTCTGGAGGTTAGAGTGAGAGGGAAGGGTAGAGAGGACAGTGTGCCCCATTTTCATGAACTGTGTGTGTGTGTGTGTGTGTGTGTGTGTGTGTGTGTGTGTGTGTGTGTGTATACATACGGTACCAGTCAAACGTTTGGACACACCTACTCATTCAAGGGTTTTTCTTTATTTTTTACTATTTTCTACATTGTAGAATAATAGTGAAGACATCAAAACTATGAAATAACACATATGCAATCATGTAGTAACCCCAAAAAAGTGTTAAACAAATCAAAATATATTTTATATGTGAGATTCTTCAAAGTAGCCACCCTTTGCCTTGATGACAGCTTTGCACACTCCTGGGCTGGCTTTTTGTGACTATGATTATTTCAGCTCATGACACATGGGACCAACACTTAATAATTAATAATATGCCATTTAGCAGACGCTTTTATCCAAAGGGACTTACAGTCATGTGCGCATACATGTTTACGTATGGGTGGTCCCGGGGATCGAACCCACTACCCTGGCGTTACAAGCGCAATTGCTCTACCAATTGAGCTACAGAGGAACACTTTACATGTTGTGTTTATATTTTTGTTCAGTATCTCTCTCTCTCTCTCTCTCTCTCTCTCTCTCTCTCTCTCTCTCTCTCTCTCTCTCTCTCCCTTTTCCTCCTTTTCCATACTCTTTCTCCATCTCCCTTTCTCTCTCCTTCTCCATCTCTCTTTTACATTACGAAAACGTATGCATGCACTACTGTAAATGGCTTTGGAGAAAAACGTCTGCGGAATGGCATATATTATTATACAGATGTAGAATCTTAATTTAATCACCCTGTTGCAAGTAAAATTTCCTGCAATGCAGGACATTTAAAACTTGTGTATTTGAGGTTTAAAAAGGCTTCTGAAGTTTGTAATTTTCACTTTGAAATTTGACTCGATTTTCCCTTACGAAAAATGTATCGGCCCCTACAAAAAATGTCCATTAATTATAATCCACATAATAATTCACATTTCCTGTTGCTGCAGGATTATTTTCCTGCTGTTGAAAACTGGCTCAAATTAAGATCATAGATCTGTATATGACATGTATATATTCCCCTCTCTCCCTCCATCCCCTCGACTGTGTAGCTCCAGGGGGCTCGTATCCTGGGGATTCCCGTTATCGTGTCGGAGCAGTACCCCAAAGGCCTGGGCAGCACGGTGCAGGAGATGGACATCGCTGGAGCCAGGCTGGTGTTCCCCAAGACCAAGTTCTCCATGGTGCTGCCTGAGGCCGAGGCAGCCCTGGCTGCCCTGCCGGGTGTCCGCAGTGTGGTGCTGTTCGGGGTGGAGGTAAGGTTTAGAGAGAGGGAGACTGTCCTTGAATCCCAAATCGACTCCCAGACCGTACGCCATTTGCACTTGTGGAGATCTGAGAGGATGTGAACCAACACCAGTGGTTCCCAACCTTTTTTTGAACCGTAAAACACCTTGAAGGGATAAAACACATAACATTTCCCTATTCATTTATTAAGTGATATTGACCTCCATCTCATCTGATCCATACGTTTTTTTATAAATTAAATAGTGTTTGTTTGAAATATTTTCATAGTTTTCATATACTGAACAAAGATATAAGTGCAACATGTAAAGTATTGGTCCCATGTTTCAAGAGCTGAAATAAAATATCCCAGAAATGTTCCATACGCACAAAAAGCGTATTTCTCTCAAATGTTGTGCACAAATTTGTTTACATCCCTGTTATTGAGCATTTCTCCTTTGTCAAGATAATCCATACACCTGACAGGTGTGGCATATCAATAAGCTGATTAAACAGCATGATCGTTACACAGGTGCACCTTGTGCTGGGGACAATAAAATGTGCAGTTCTGTCACACAACACAATGCCACAGATGTCTCAAGTTTTGAGGGAGCGTGCAATTGGCATGCTGACTGCAAGAATGTCCACCAGAGCTGTTGCAAGATAATTTAATGTTGATTTCTCTACTATAAGCCGCCTCCAACGTCGTTTTTGAGAATTTGGCCAATTGGCCTCACAACCGCAGACCTTGTGTAACCACACCTGCCCAGGACCTCCACATCCGGCGGCTTCACCTGCAGAATCGTCTGAGACCAGCCACCCGGACAGCTGATGAAACTGAGGAGTATTTCTGTCTGTAATAAAGCCCTTTTGTGGGGAAAAACTCATTCTGATTGGCTGGGCCTGGCTCCCCAGTGGCTGGGCTTGGCTCCCCAGTGGGTGGACCTATGCCCTCCCAGGCCCACCCATGGCTGCACCCCTGCCCAGTCACGTGCAATCCATAGATTAGGGCCTAATGAATGTATTTCAATTGACTGATTTCCTTATATGAACTGTAACTCAGTAAAATTGTTGCATGTTGCGTTTATGTTTTTGTTCAGTATAGTTCTTTACTCATGATTAATTTGTGTGTAACCCTTTAAGAGTGTCCCGCGAATCCACGCCCCAGCAAGATTTTTTTTTTTAGCTCCGGTAAAGTAGGTGTTTAGTTTTGAACGGTTTGTGGTGCTAGAGACGAGCGGTTTTCTGCATTGTAAAGATGCGACCACGGACACAAAGCCATGCTCCGTTTGTTTCTGTAGCAGAGGCTGTGGTACAGCTAAGCCTAATCAGACTTGCCTGGTGCTAACGGTTTCCACAGGCAACGTAAAATGATACAAATGACTTGTGATGCACACCCCTTAAATGATACAAATGTAACAACAGCCTCAGCACACTGGACACTGGAAACAACCACACAGATGTAACCATGTACCATGTAATGTTTTATCTGACCTCCACTAGTGCTCCCAAGTCAAATTCCAGGTGCATTCCACAGGTCACTTTTTATAAGTGAGTGTTCCAAAAAAAAAGAAAAAAGATCAAGATTAGGAAAAGTTTTGCGACACACCTGTGTTAAAAACCACTGGTTTACAGTGGGGCGGCAGGTAGCTAAGAGCGTTGTGCCAGTAACCGAAAGGTCGCTGGTTCTGATCCCCGAGCCGACCAGGTGAAAAATCTGTCGATGTGCCCTTGAGCAAGGCACTTAACCCTAATTGCTCCTGTAAGTCGCTCTGGATAAGAGTGTCTGCTAAATGACTAAAATGTAATGTAAATGTATATCCAATCTGCAAAAATCTACTCAAATTGTATAGGGGGGAGACTGTCTTCTTACATGTTGCCGCCATCTAAGGGTGTAGTTGAGTGGTGCAGCTGATTGGACTACAGAGGGTGAAATCCCAGTACAGTACACTTTAGAACCTATGCACTTAATAACCAAATATGTGTCCTTTATTAGTAGCCATTTTGTCATCAGGACTTTGAACATAGCTCTTCCTATAAGTAACCCAGACGACCTGTGTGTCTGTCTCAGACCCATGTGTGCATCCAGCAGACAGCTCTGGACCTGCAAGCGAGGGGTTTCGAGGTGCACATCGTGGCTGACTCCACCTCATCCCGCAGCATGATGGACAGAATGTTTGCACTGGAGGTAAGTATCATATTTCCATGTATTTTATTTAAATGTATATGTTCATATATTATCACATGTTCATATTATTTACATAATATCATACAAGTGTAATATGAAAACATTACACTAGCATGTCTCCAACATGTTAGCTCGCAGGCGACCGGTAGCTCGCAGGCTGTCAATGAGAATGAATCAGTGATATTACATGATTTCATTTGTGAACAAAGAATGCGGCAAATTAAAAAGCAACAGGGTATTGGTATCGCGATAAGACGGCTCTGCTAGGTTAGCTAAGGGATATTGGGTGAATAAGCTATTTGACTCTATTTCCATCAAATATATACAGTGGGGAAAAAAAGTATTTAGTCAGCCACCAATTGTGCAAGTTCTCCCACTTAAAAAGATGAGAGAGGCCTGTAATTTTCATCATAGGTACACGTCAACTATGACAGACAAATTGAGAAAAAAAAATCCAGAAAATCCCATTGTAGGATTTTTAATGAATTTATTTGCAAATTATGGTGGAAAATAAGTATTTGGTCACCTACAAACAAGCAAGATTTCTGGCTCTCACAGACCTGTAACTTCCTCTTTAAGAGGCTCCTCTGTCCTCCACTCGTTACCTGTATTAATGGCACCTGTTTGAACTTTTTATCAGTATAAAAGACACCTGTCCACAACCTCAAACAGTCACACTCCAAACTTCACAATGGCCAAGACCAAAGAGCTGTCAAAAGGACACCAAAAACAAAATTGTAGACCTGCACCAGGCTGGGAAGACTGAATCTGCAATAGGTAAGCAGCTTGGTTTGAAGAAATCAACTGTGGGAGCAATTATTAGGAAATGGAAGACATACAAGACCACTGATAAGCTCCCTCGATCTGGGGCTCCACGCAAGATCTCACCCCGTGGGGTCAAAATGATCACAAGAACGGTGAGCAAAAATCCCAGAACCACACGGGGGGACCTAGTGAATGACCTGCAGAGAGCTGGGACCAAAGTAACAAAGCCAACCATCAGTAACACACTACGCTGCCAGGGACTCAAATCCTGCAGTGCGAGACGTGTCCCCCTGCTTAAGCCAGTACATGTCCAGGCCCGTCTGAAGTGCATTTGGATGATCCAGAAGAGGATTGGGAGAATGTCATATGGTCAGATGAAACCAAAATATAACTTTTTGGTAAAAACTCAACTCGTCATGTTTGGAGGACAAAGAATGCTGAGTTGCATCCAAAGAACACCATACCTACTGTGAAGCATGGGGTTGGAAACATCATGCTTTGGGGCTGTTTTTCTGCAAAGGGACCAGGACGACTGATCCGTGTAAAGGAAAGAATGAATGGGGCCATGTATCGTGAGATTTTGAGTGAAACCCTCCTTCCATCAGCAAGGGCATTGAAGATGAAACGTGGCTGGGTCTTTCAGCATGACAATGATCCCAAACACACCGCCCGGGCAACGAAGGAGTGGCTTCGTAAGAAGCATTTCAAGGTCCTGGAGTGGCCTAGCCAGTCTCCAGATCTCAACCCCATAGAAAATCTTTGGAGGGAGTTGAAAGTCTGTGTTGCCCAGCGACAGCCCCAAAACATCACTGCTCTAGAGGAGATCTGCATGGAGGAATGGGCCAAAATACCAGCAACAGTGTGTGAAAACCTTGTGAAGACTTACAGAAAACGTTTGACCTGTGTCATTGCCAACAAAGGGTATATAACAAAGTATTGAGAAACTTTTGTTATTGGCCAAATACTTATTTTCCACCATCATATGCCAATAAATTCATTAAAAATCCTACAATGTGATTTTCTGGATTTTTTTTCCTCATTTTGTCTGTCATAGTTGACGTGTACCTATGATGAAAATTACAGGCCTCTCTCATCTTTTTAAGTGGGAGAACTTGCACAATTGGTGGCTGACTAAATACTTTTTTTCCCCACTGTATGCTGCTGAAACATTTTCAACATGTTATTTTCAACATTTACATGGTGAAAGACGGTGCTTCTAACAACAATCCATTTAAACAATTCCATTTCAATTCCGGTCAATTCAGGAAGTGCTAGTGGGTACTTGCCACGAAATAACATTCCTCACCTGACCCACCTCCTCTTCATTTTCCTTCTCTTTCTATCTCTCTCCTCTCGAGCTCTCTCGGGCGATCCCTAGCCGTCTATTCATCTATCGACGCGAGCCTATCCTCAGCGCGCTCGCTGCATCGCTCTTCTATCTTGCTCCCGAGATAGCGCGTGCTGGGATCTCTCTCGCTCTCTCTCGCCCGCTTCACGTCCTGCTCGCTTGCGCTTCTCGTCGGCGCTCGCGGTTCCTGGCTCTCTTTCTTCTCTCTCTTTCACTCTTTCTATCTCTCTTTCACTCTTTCTATCTCTCTCTCTTTCTCTATCTCTCTCTTTCTTCTCTCTCTCTCTCTCTCTCTCTCTTCTCCCCTCTCTCTCTCTCTCTCTCTCTTTTTCTATCTCTTTCTATCTGTCTCTCTATCTATCTCTCTTTCTATCTCTCTCAGCGAATGGCTCGCACCGGGATCATTGTCACCACCAGTGAGTCTGTCCTCCTCCAGCTGGTAGGCGACAAGGAGCACCCAAAATTCAAGGAGATCCAGAATATCATCAAGGCCAGCGCCCCCGAGTCTGGCTTGCTCTCCAAGGTCTAGACTAGGCCACACAGGGTCAATAAGGAGAAGGTAGAATTTGTCCTTATCCTCTGATCCCAGATCAGATATGGGTTTATATTCTCGTTTTGGGTTTAAGGATATAAGTTAGGGACAACTTCTATCGTCAAGCAATGACAGAGAACCAACAGGGGTCAAGAGGTTTTAAATGGGCAATCAGCAGTTGCTACATCTATTTCAGGACTTATACATTAATGATATGAACCTATTGATTCTTAAAGAATATAACTTATAAATGCCTCACGAGCTTAGTTCAACTTTCGTATCCCATCAGAATCCAAAAATATAAACTTGTTTCACTCCCAATGTTTGTAAACAAAGTAGCCTCGTATATATTGCGTCCATAGCTCTGTCTATGAATTTGAGTGGTTACATTTCTCCAGCCCCGTCCCTCGTCTTTTTCCTGCTGATTACAACTTTAAGGTGAATTGGCGATGGACCAGTTCTCCTTCAGTCCTGGTCTGGGAAGCCCATTGTGGGGATGGACCAGTTCTCCTTCAGTCCTGGTCTGGGAAGCCCATTGTGGGGATGGACCAGTTCTCCTTCAGTCCTGGTCTGGGAAGCCCATTGTGTATGCAGCATTTTAACTCCAGCTGGATTAGATATTGTGAAAATAAAAACTTTGTTTTAGGCATGGACTTGACCTTGAACTGGAAGTGCACATTGAGGTGATGTCATGGGACCATACATTATCACTGACCAGTTTCCTGTTGGTTGATAAACATACCACTGGGTCTCAGACTAGGATCGGGGAAACCTGGGGCTGGGCTTATTTTGGTTCCAGTTATATTTTATGCACTGTGCTTTCTAGCCTGCCTGAGTACGTGGGTGGAAAAGTGCTTCATGTGACTATTATATTGTGTGTGAGTCAGGGTACGATGTAGAAAAATGAATAAACAGTATATATTTCCTAATGTATATTTCCTGTTGTTTCCATTTTTGTCAACGGCTCACAGTATGGACAGTAATTAAGAATGATTCTTCCGCTATTTGTATTGTGTGTTCAGTGGCGTGCCGTATTCCTCATATCTGCTGTAATGAAAAGGGGGAAATAAATATCAAAAATAGTTGAGACATGTCTACAGTACCTATCCGACTATCTGGAGTCTACAGTACCTATCTGATTATCTGGAGTCTACAGTACCTATCTGATTATCTGGAGTCTACAGTACCTATCTGACTATCTGGAGTCTACAGTACCTATCTGACTATCTGGAGTCTACAGTACCTATCCGACTATCTGGAGTCTACAGTACCTATCCGACTATCTGGAGTCTACAGTACCTATCCGACTATCTGGAGTCTACAGTACCTATCTGATTATCTGGAGTCTACAGTACCTATCTGATTATCTGGAGTCTACAGTACCTATCTGACTATCTGGAGTCTACAGTACCTATCTGACTATCTGGAGTCTACAAGTACCTATCCGACTATCTGGATCTACAGTACCTATCTGACTATCTGGGAGTCTACAGTACCTATCTGACTATCTGGAGTCTACAGTACCTATCCGACTATCTGGATCTACAGTACCCTATCCGACTATCTGGAGTCTACAGTACCTATCCGACTATCTGGAGTCTACAGTACCTATCTGATTATCTGGAGTCTACAGTACCTATCCGACTATCTGGAGTCTACAGTACCTATCTGATTATCTGGTGTTTACAGCAGCTATCTTAAGTATTTCACCCCCCCCCCCCCCCCCCATCTTAAGTATTCATGTTAGAAACACCTTTGGCGGAGATTAAAGCTGTGAGTCTTCTTGGGTAGGTCTCTAAGAGCTTGCACACCTGGATTATTTGCACATATTTTTTTTTTTTCTTCAAGCTCTGTCAAGGTGTTGGGAATCATGGATAGATTTTCAAGCAGATTTAAGTCAAAACTGTAACTGGACACTCAGGAACATTCACTGTCTTCTTGGTAAGCAACTACAGTGTAAAATTTGGCCTTTTGTTGTAGGTTATTGTGCTACTGAAAAGGGGAATTCCTCTCCCAGGTCTGGTGTAAATTGGTTGGGGGCCCCCCCACCGGGGCACGTGCCCTGTGTGCCGTTTGGTAAACCGGCCATGATTCCTGAGCCAGTTTCCTTCCTGTCCTGCGCTCAGTTCAGAAGGACGATGTTCTGTATGATGAGAAACTTTTGTTATTGGGCCCAAATCCTTATTTTCCACTCACTCCAAATAATGCCAATAAATTCATTAAAAAAAAATCCTAACAATGTGATTTTCTGGATTTTTTTTTCCTCTTTTGTCTGTCAATTTGACGTGTCACCTATGAATGAAAATTACAGGCCTCTCTACTCTTTTAAGTGGAACTTGCACCATTGGTGGTTTGCCTAATACTTTTTTTGTTCCCCACTGTATGCTCTGACACATTTCAACATGTTTTATTTTCACATTTACATGGTGGAAGACGGTTGCTTCTAACACAATGCCATTTAAACACTTCCATATCTCAATCATCCGGTCATTCAGGAGTGCTAGTGGTTTACTTGCCCGCATACATTCCTCACTGACCCACCTCCTCTTCATTTTCTCTCTCTCTTTCTATCTCTCCTCTTCTATCCTCTCTTTCTATCTCTCTCTCTCTTCTCTATCTCTATCTCCTCTTTCTAATCTCCTACTCTATCTCTCTCTCTCGCTCGTCTCTTTCTCTCTTTTCCTAAAATCATCCTCTCTCTCTTTCTCTCTCTCTCTTTCTATCTCTCTTTCTCTCTCGCTTTCGATCTCTCTTTTCCCCTCTCTCTCTTTCTATCTCTATCTCCCTCATCTCTTTCTATCGTCTCTATCTTTCTTGTTCTCCTCTCTCTCTTTCCTATCTCTCTCCTCTTTCTTCTCTTTCTATCCTTTCATCTTTCTCTTTCTATCTCTCTCTCTTCACTATTCCTATCTCTCTTTCATTCACTTTCCCATTCACTCTTTCTATCATCTCCTCCAATCTTTCTATCTCTCTCCTATCTCTCTCTTCTAATCTCTCCCACTCAGCGACTCCCGTCCCATCTGCTCTCAAATGTCTCTACTTCCACTAAATCTCATCTCGATATCCTCTCCATCACTTTCACGAGAATCTTCGAGCTCTCCGCTCTGCTATCTCATACCGTCTCTCTGCACAATCTGCTCCTTTCTACTAATCATCTGCTTCCTTCGGTAAAGTCAAGTTAAAACTTCCCAGACTCAGGTATCTATCTCTTAATTCTATCTCCCTCTCCTCTCTCACCTCGCTCCCTCTCACCTCACTCCCAGCATCTCCATCGTCTCCTCCCGTCTCCCTTAAATCATTCTTCCATTCTCTCTCCTCTACTCTGGAAAAGCACTCCCATCAATCCTTTCTCTATCTCCTCTCTTGATCTATCTTTCTTTCTCTCTCTCCTCCTCTCTCTCATCTCGCGGCCTCATCTCTCCTCTGCTCATGCTCTCTCTCTCTCTCTCTCTCTCTTGTCTATCTCTTTCTATCTGTCCTCTCTATTCTCTCTCTTTTCTATCTCTCTCACTCAGCGCATGCTCGCACCGGGATCATTGTCACCACCATTGTTCTGTCCTCCTCCGCTGGGTAGGCACAATAATCAACCAAAATTCAAGGAGATCCAGAATCCTCATCAAGGCCACATCGCCCCCGAGTCTGTCTTGCTCTCCACTTCTAGACTATGCCACACAGTCAATAAGGGAGAATGTAGAATTTGGTCCTTATCCTCTGATCCAGATCCAGACTTTTGGGGGTTTTATATTCTCGTATTGGTTACGGATATAAAGTTCGGGACAAACTTCTATCGTCAAGCAATGACATGAGAAAGAACCAACAGGGGTAAGTAAGAGGTTTAAATGGCACTCAGCATTTGCTACTCTATTTCAGGACTTTATACATAATTTATAAATTAACCTTATTTATTTCTTAAAGAATAATACCTCTATAAAGCCTCATCAACGAGCCATTAGTTTTCAACTTTTCGTATCCCAATCAGAATCCAAAATATAAACTTGTTATCACTCCCCTGTTTGTAACAAGTATCCGGTCGTATATATTTTGCGTCCTAGCTCTTGTCCTATGAATTTGAGTGGTTACATTGCCCTCCACAAGTTCTACAACTTTCTCCATCCAGCCCCTTCCCTATCGTCTTTTCCTGGCTGATTACAAACTTTAAGGTGAATGGCGATTGACCAGTTCTCCTTCAGTCCTGGTCTGGGAACCCATTTGTGGGTATGACAAGTTTCTCCTTAGTCCTTGGTCCTGGGAATCCCATTTTGGGGATGGACCATTCCTCCTTCAGTCCTGGTCTGGAAGCCCTTTGTGTATGCAAGCATTTTACCCAGCTGGATTAGATATTGTTGAAAAGAAAACTTGTTTTAGCATGGACTTGACTTGAACTGGAAGTGCACATTGAGTGAATGTCATGGGACCACTACATTATCACTGCCACCAGTTTTTCCTGTTGGTTATACATAACCCACTCGGGGTCTCAGACTAGGCTCCGGTGACCACCCTGGGCTGGGCTTAGTTTGGATTCCAGTTATTTTATGCACTGTGCTTTTCAGCCTCCTGAGTACGTGGTGGTAAAGTGCTTCATGTGACTATTATATGTGTGTGAGTCAGGGACATGTAGAAAAATGAATAACAGTATATATTTTCCTAATTATATTTCCTGTTGTTATCCATTTTTTGTCCAACCGGCTCCATATGACCGTAATTAAAAATGATTCTTCCTCTATTTGTAATTGGGTGTTCAGTGCGTGGCCGTATTCCTCATTCTGCCTGTATGAAAAGGGGGAAATAAATATCAAAATATTGAAGAACAAATGTCCTACGTACTTCCGACGATCTGAGTCTACAGTAACCTATTCTGATTATCTGGGGAGTCATACGTACTATCTGATTATCTGGAGTCGACAGTAACCTAATCTGACTATCTGGATGTCCTACAGTACCCTATCTGACTATCTGGAGTCGACAGTAACCTATCCGACTATCTGGAGTTACAGTACTATCCGACGATCTGGAGTCTACATTAACCTCTCCATCCGGACTATACTGAGTCTACAGTACCCTATCTGATTCTCTGGAGATCTCGTAACCTATCGGATTATCTGGAGTCTAACAGTACCTATGCTGACTATCTGGAGTCTACAGTACTCTATCTGACTAATCTGGAGTGCTACAGTACCTATCCGACTATCTGGAGTCCTACCGTACCCTCTCTGACTATCCTGGATCTACAGTACCTCTCTGACTATCCTGTAGTCTCAGTACCTATCCGACTATCTGGAGTCTACATTCCTATCCGACTATCTGGAGTCTACAGACCTAGCCGACTACTGGAGTCTTACAGTACCTATTGATTTCTGTGCGTCCTACAGTACTATCCGA